TAATTACTGTATGTTTATAATAAGTCTTGATTTCCAGTAATATAAAAACTTCAATTGCAATCTTCTTGATGAATGTCTTACCTATTCTTGGGCTTTTGTATTTCCATATATATTTTGGAAACAGGTTGTCAATTTCTTAAAAAAAAAAAAAAAAAAGCTGGCATTTTTATTTGGATTATATTGAATCTGTAGTTCAGTTTGGAAAATAAGTAATTTAACTTTTCTAAGCCCTACATTTCTCTTCTGAAAAAAAAAAAGAAAAAATGCTCACTGAGCAATTTTTAAACTGGAAAAAATCACTGTAGAAATGCTGGATTTGTATTATAAAGCGAGAAGGAACACAGGCAAGGACTGGGGCAAAGTCAGCCTACGGTGGATTTCCAGAAGGTCGGAGTGACTCTGGAATCTGGTTGCTCTGCAGCGGCACTGGCCGAGGCTGCTGGAGTACGGGCTGTCAGGCTGCAGCTGGTTAAGAGTCAGGCTGGCTTCTAACTCACAGGCTCGGGTGCAGGAAGAAGAGGTCGTGGCTTTTTCCGGCACCTTTGTTCCCATCCCACCTCCAGGGGGCGCCACATTCCTTCTGATGGTTGTGTGTTTGCCTTCCCGCAACTTTTTCTTTGTAGACTGGAAACTGCAGAGCAATCACATTACCTTTATTTTTCAAATGTGTCCACTGTGTGTCAGGCCCAGCTCTGCATGGATTCACCTCCTCTCTTGTTCTGTACAGAATGGCACACTTGGAGAGAGGACCAGACGTGCCAGTGGGGAAAGGGCATCAAGACAGTCCCTCGTGACCCCCACTGCCTCTACGACCCCCCCTTCTGTTCCCTCGAGCATGTCCTGAGCCGACCTAAGGCCATTTGTGTGTTTATGTGACCAGGACATAAAGGGGACACAACCGTCTTTCTCTGGAGTCAGCCCATTTAGGAAATGCGAGGGTCTGACACATCCTCTCTCCACACTGCCGGCCTCAGCCTGCCAGTCCCAGTGGTTTCTTTCAGAGCTTTCACGGCAGTCCCCTGAACAAATACTTTTTTCCCAAGAGGCGTCCCCAGGCTGAAACAAGGGGAAGTAAATGTGACCCCACTGTACTGCCTCCCACAAGTCATTCTGCCTCCTTCATCCTGTCCTGGTCTTTGTCCTGTCCTGGTCTTCAGGGAGCCCCTGGGAGGGAAACCTGTGTCTGCAGTGGCCAGTGTCTAGCAGAGGTGGTGCCTCTATCCAAAGCCACGGCCCACTCTCCTGAGTGCTGAGTGAGCCCCAAACAAGCCTTGGAGAACCTTCCTGTTCTCAGGTGCCCCAGGATCCCTGAGCACTGCTGCCCATCTAGCCTCCTGGAGGAAGCCCAGTCAGGGGCAGGCGGGGGAGGGGCAGAGGGGGAGTTAGCACCCTCTTGAGAAAAGCAGCAGCCAGGCAGGAAAGGAGAGAAGGATGCTGGATGTAGTCTGCTCAGCCCAGGTGCCTGGGGAGGGTCCTCAGTGTCTGCAGCGGAGTCTGGATGTCCCTGCAATGGGGCAGAGCCCCACACTGGGCAGGACAGTGCTGGCTTGGTGAGGAGTCCTACCTGCCTCCACCGTTCCCTGAGTGCTGAGGGGCGTGTGGGCTTTGCCAGGACGGCTGAAGGAACAGAACAGGCCCTGTGGTGCACTTCTTTATCCCACTGGACCCGGCCCCTATGAGGCAGTGTGGCAGGTGAACCCCCTGAGGACACCCTCAGACCCCCTTCTCGTTTCTAGGGGCAGGAGACGTGCTGCAGCCTGACCCCAGGAACACTGGGATTCCTACCTGTCCTATCCCCCCTCCTGTCAGGGCAGCCAGCCCCAGCTGAGGGGAACCAGATGTGAGAGCCGGAAGCGCACCCTCACCCTCCCTTCCCAGCAGCTGGCTAGAAGGCCTCTCTTAAAAGGCCCGGGTACCTGGCCGTGGGGGGTGGGGAGGAAGGAAGGGAGTGGGAGAGAATTAGACAAAGGAAGCTCACCATAAAACCAGCAGCAGGTCTGTAATCACGAGAGCCCTTTGTTTAGAGCCGGTTTAAACAAGTTGTGATCCTTTGGAAGGGGAGGCCATAAACCGAGGGGGGGAAATAAAAGTGTTTACAGCAAGGGAGACCCAGGTGCCGGGGGATTCGTTTGGCCAGGATCAATGTGGGAGCGGGGCCGGTGCGGCCTGGCCTGGCCTGGGCTTGGAGAATGGGCTTCCTCTTAGTACCGGACGGCTCCAACATCACAGACTCCAACCCGACGAGGGGCGGCCCTCCCCACCCACACCGGCGGTCGAGGGGCAATCTCACATTCCAACCTGGGGACATGGGGCAGGGAGCCCGGGTCTGCACCGTCAAGAGATGAATTGCCTGGGGCTGCAGAGCTTACAGTCAGCTTCTCTGCTTGTCTACAATTCCTTCAGAATAGACCTGAGGGAGTTACACTCATAAGAGGGTGTGAGGACAGTTGTTCCTCACAGACACACCTCTTAGTCCCCACTTATCAGGCTGCGAAAGCTAGGGTTACAGCTCGAGGGAGTAATCTGGTTATATCTGACATGTCCCCAGCCCTGAGCCCCCCACACCTACCACCATTTCTGTCCTCTGCTCTGTTTAGCAACGCTGAATACATAAACGTCACACAGTCAGTCAGTCATTCCGTAAGTTTAATGAGCACCTCTGGTAGGGCAGACAACCAGGACAGGGGCGACAGAGGTACAGGACACAGACTCTGTCCTGAAAGTAGGGCAGTTTGGGGATGACTAGCAATAACATTCTCAGGACATGTCAGCTGGCATATACTCATGTTTTTAACATAATACTCATGTTTTAATGCTCCCCAAGAATATATGTCTCAGTGCAACGTGATACCTTTGGAGAATGGCAGTACCAAGTAAAGCTAACATGGTCCTTGGAAGAATATCGTGCTGATGTCCTCCCCACGTAATTTGTTGTTTGTGCTCATCAGGAAAGCCTGCCAGACTTTTCTGCAAAAATTCACACTAGGTCACACCCATACTAATAAGGAAAATGAATAGTCAGAGGCACAAGATGGATCAGGTCCCTCTTGCCCCTTAAGACATTTGTGTGGCTCTTTAGCTTGCAACATTTGTGGAAGTGGGGCAACTATGTGGGGGCCTCTTAAAGAGAAAAGTCCCAGTGATAATGTCCCTTCTGACATTCATGTATTCAATTCTTGGATCAGCCTGGCCAGTTAAAGAGGTGAGCTTTGTTCTGTAATACTCAATATGTTTTCTTCATTAGAACAGTTCAGAAAATAAGCGGAGATGCCAGTTTTATCTTTAAAATGACTTCATTTCTTATAAATTGATTTCAAATACATTCTAGTCTAAGCCTGGCCACTCTGGTGACCTCCCTAGGACCATTTCCTTATTTGTAAAATAAGCATATTTATAATCTCTGCATTCCTGCTTAGTTAACAACAAGAGCAACAACAACAAAACCCAGATAAGATTCTAAGTAGCAAAGTGGCCTGATCAGTTGCGCTGGTGGGAATCACATTCCTAATCACACAGTTAGGAAGCAGTTTGCGCCCTCCAGCATTTGGTAATATATATACCATTTACTGGTGGGAGAGGCACTGGCCGCTCTGTCTCTTTCAGTGACTGATGCAAATTCTCTACTCTCCCAAAGCTCAGCTCCCTGGGGGAGAAGTCTGGAGACTGTGCACTGTGCACTGTGAGGTCCAAAAGGTGGCAGCAGGCTTTATCTCTGATGGCTGGCATCTTGCTGCCTTTGCTGAACCGGTTCCTGTGGGCCTCCCCATTGCTCTAAGGCAGGAATGTGTGTCCTTCAACTGTGGTGCTGAGCCACTGCACCTGGCGCCTCTCAGATGCATAGCTGCTGGAGGAGGACCAACCCTTGATATGGGGGTGCTGGGAAGGGAAGAGCGTGGTCCCTTTAAACGATACAGAAGCGGGGAAGGGAAGTGCTGGGTAGAGGAGGGCGTGGTCCCTGGCTAAGGCTCCACCCCATGGACCTGGGTGAGGACAGGCGTTTCTGTCACATTTCCCAAGACCACCCTGGCCGACCTGCCACGCCCTCATCCTGGGCCTATAAAAACCCGCGATGCCAGCAGGCAGACACACAAGCAGCTGGACGTGGAGAGAAACACATCGATGAAAGAAAACAAGCGGCTGGACATCGAGAGATATCAAGGGGAACATGCTGGCAGAAGAGCACTGGACAGATGCCGGCAGGCCGCAGGCCCTTGACCGGCGGACGGAGGCAGAGTTTGGACGGGAGTTTGGACGGGGCAGTCTGAGGAGAGCCGGGGCAGTCTGAGGAGAGCCTGGGCCGCCAAGTGGCCCAACTCCACAAGGAAAACCATCTCCCTTCTGGCTCCTCCCTTTGACGAGAGCTACTTTTACTCAATAAAACCTTGCACTCATTCTCCAGGCACCAGTTCTTCCAGTACACCAAGGCAGGAAACCCCGGGATACAGAAATACAGAACTATGGAAGGGCATCTAACTGAGCTAACACAAGCTGCCTGCAGACCGCTAAACTTTTACAAGAGCACCGTGTAACACATGCCCACGGAGGCGTCAGGAGCTGTCAACATTCACCCCTAGGCACTGCTGTGGGGTTGGAGCCTCACAACCTGCCCGTCTTCTAGAGGTTTGAGCAGCTGGGCACTGAAAAGGCGAGCCGCACCCTCCATCGCACGCCCTGCCAGGGGGACAGGGGAACTTTTCCGTTTCAGCATCAGGAGAGTCAGCTCAGCCAGCTCGGAAGATCCTGAGAGAAGCGAGTACACGGAGATCGTGCTCCTGCGTCCTGAAGGATCTGTTTGGTGAGAGGAGAAAACAGTGCAGAGAAAAGGCATGAACTTTCAAATCTGAGTCAGTTTTGAATCCCATCTCTGCAACTTAGTAATTGGACAAGTTATTTAACATCTCTATACCTCAGTTTTCTCATCTGCAAAATGGGGATAATAAGTACCACCTCCCAGGATCTTGTTACGAGGATTACATGGGATGATGTCTATAAAGCTTCCCGGCGTTATGAGTCCCTCCCTGCCTCCCTCCCTTCCTCCCTTCCTCCCTTCTTCTCTCCCTTTCTTCCTTTTTCCCTCCTCCCTTTCTTCCTGTGAAACAAAATTTAGCATCACACCCCACAAATTCTGAAAAATGAAATATAACAAAAATACTAAACCCTATAGATGAGCCCTTCCTGTGTATGAAACATTTCAAATTCCTTCATCAAAAGGAATGCAGTTTCACTGTCCCTATACATGGAATAGTGTTGGGGTGGTACTTCCGGTTCACGCACTGAAACAGACAATGGAGGTATAAAAATGAATGGAATGATCGATCGTTAAGCACAATGCAAAGGAACACAGAAGCAGATAATTTCAAAGGCATGATGGATTTTGGGGGAAGATGGTGGAGTGCCCTGCCTGACTTGGAGTAGGAGCTGGGAGAATGGGGTTCTGGTGAGGTTACTCTTCCGGAGAAAGTGATGTCTTTTGTGGAAAATAAATTTCTGAACTTTCAAGATATGTCAACTAAGTATCAACAAAATTGATTTACAAATGATTACTGGTGGATTCAATAGGAATAAGGATTTGCTCTGTATAAGGTCTCCTGACAAACAGCTCCTGGGTGTCTACTCGTGAAACTGCACAGTTGTGCAGATACAATGTATAAAAATGAATAAGAAATGACCCGGGAGGGGCGCGGTGGCTCACGCCTGTAATCCCAGCACTTTGGGAGGCCGAGGCGGGTGGATCACGAGGTCAGGAGATGGAGACCATCCTGGCTAACACTGTGAAACCCCGTCTCTACTAAAAATACAAAAAATTAGCCGGGCGTTGTGGCGGGCGCCTGTAGTCCCAGCTACTCGGGAGGCTGAGGCAGGAGAATGGTGTGAACCCGGGAGGCGGAGCTTGCAGTGAGCCGAGATCACGCCACCGCACCCCAGCCTGGGCAACTGAGTGAGACTCTGTCTCAAAAAAAAAAAAAAAAAAAAGAAAGAAAGAAAGAAAGAAATGACCCGTTCTCCAAGGAGCTTGCATTCTAATAAGCAAGTAAAAAACACTATGATCAGCATAGCTGATTCTTTGCTAGAAGTGCATAAAAAGTATATTGAAACTGAGTGGCTTCTCATTTGTAAAGTTCTAGTTTTCAGCCACTACATTACTTTAGGGGCCACTCTTTGCAGGTCTGTGTGCCTTTCTTGGCCCTGCATGTAGGTGGTTGGAACCTCAGAATTTGCTCTTGGCTGGGCAGCAACAGCCTATCTCTTTGTAAAGCGTTTTGCAGTAACGCTTATCAGAGAAATGAGGCTCTCATCTTACAGAATTCGCCGGGGAGTGGGTCCAGGCCAGGCAGTGCTGGGGAGGACTTTAGATAGGGCAAAGGAGATGCAGGATCAGAGGCATCTGGTCAGATTGGCCACCTCCCCCGACTTCTGCATGCTGATTTCTTTTCTTAAGCCTCTTCCCAGAGTCCCAGCCTGATGGTGCTTGAGAGGTGGGCTCCAGATGGAAAGAGGGAAAGGAAATCCAATATTTAGTGAGCATCTATTGCAAGCCAGGCACGATCCATTGAATGGTGACATGGGTTCTGGAGATGGGCACGGTCCATCTTACAGTTCGGGGAGCTAGGGCTTGGAGAAACCTGTCCCAGGACCCAGTGAGCCTCGGAGCCAAGCCTGAGCTCCACCTGTGCACTCCACAGTCTTTGCACGCCTGTGCTTCCTAAACCAGAACACTCCTACTCCTCACTATATGTGCTTAGTGGGGTGCTGGCAGATGAGCGCCAAATCTCAGTTACTTTCTCTTCATTACAGCACATGATATAAACTTCAGTTTTAAACTCCATCAGATGTGAACATATCACGGAGTAGAACGCAACCTGTATGTGTGTGTTAAGGGTCAAGAGATCGAGGCCATCTGGGCCAACATGG